GAAGCCGACAAGGCATTTAAGGTTTTAAAAAGGAAATTGATGGAAGCTCCAGCACCTCTCTAAGCCATTCCAACTGTATGTCCATGAAAGGAAAGGAGTGGCCCTGGGAGTGCTTACTCAGTTATTAGGCACCTGGAAACGTCCCGTGGCATATTTCTCTAAACAACTGGATCAAGTTGCTAAGGGATGGCCGGCATGTTTGCGAGCGGTCACAGCAACTGCCCTAATGCTTGGGGAAGCTGAGAAATTGACACTGGGAGGAGCTGTGCAAGTGTATACTCCCCACATGGTTCAAGCCGTGCTGGATACTAAGGGTGGTCTCTGGCTTACACAGGCTCGAGTTGCTCGGTATCAGGCAAAGCTTGTAGAAAATCCTGAAGTTACCTTACAGACCTGTCCTCCCTTAATCCAGCTACCCTGTTACCAGAGACAGAGGAGCAGGAACATGACTGTTTGGAGGTCATAGTGCCGGCAACACCCTCACAGCCCTGCCCCTAGCTCCCTGACCCCTCAAAAATGCACAGGGTCTGACTTTCCAAGGCTGGCGTCATTACAGGAGCTTTGAGTCCCGCACCCAGGCACTCGGGTCAGCCTAAAAACTAGGCTCCCTGTCCCCCCACGAGTCCCTTCAGTGTCCCCACCTCTTCCTCCAGCCCTGGGGCCCCTCAGTGCCCCCGCCTCTCCCCCCATGGCTGGCCAGGCCCCCCAGAGCTCCCAGCTGCGCAGACAGCCTCTGTCATGTGACCCGCCCCTCCGCCCAATGTGCGTGATCCTCCCCCCAGCCCGGCGCTGGGCTGTTCCTCTGCCCCTCTCAATACGGGGATCCCGAGTAACACGGGGCGAGGCAGGGCTATTTCCTGCCCTTCCAGTACTGAGCGGGTGAGGCACAGTCCCCACAACCCCCTGCCTCCACTCTGGCTTCAAACTCCTTTCTAGCTACTCCTTTGTGAAGCGCTTTGAGATCCGCTGATGGGAAGCGCTGGGTAAGAGCTGCTAGGGATGGGGCAGGGGAGATTATCTCATATCTGTTACTGCAGGGTTACCTTCCCCTGAAGCATCAGGTGCTGGCCTGTCCCCCATCGGGCTACTGGTCTAGATGGATCCCCTTGCCTCTGATCCATTCCAGTCTGGCAGTTCCTGTCGCCCCCCCCCTCCCGTCTAGGGTGAAATCAGGCTCCACTGGCTGGCATGGAGCCTGGAGAGCTGAGTGACGGTCACCTGCAGCCCTGAGGCACCCTTGCTTCTGCCCAATGGCACTGTGCTAACCCTGAACATAGGCACAGGTGGATCTATCTTAGGTACTTACATTGCTTCCATTGCTGTAGTATCGGAGGACCTCACTGTCTTTATTGTACCATTATCCCCATAATACAGATGGGGAAACTGAGGCACAGTGAGGCTAAGTGCTGGATTCACAAAGAGACTTAGGTGTCTAAAAAAACCCCTCATATACTCCCCACCTGAACCAAAGGACCAACTCTGCAGATTGTCACTAAGTAATCGGCTATCACAGCTGCTAAAGGAGACCCGATTCCCTGTGCTAAGCCAGCGCATGTCATCCCCCGCCCCCCGTGACTCCCGCCTTCCTCAGCTCTCTCTCCCTCACACCCACCTCCACCACTTCCCCAGAGTCTAAACTCAGAAGACAGGGAGGGCAGTACATAGGTGCTGGAATTAGGGGTACTACCGCAGTCCATGGCTGGAAGTGGTTTCCATCATATACAGGTTTTACAGTTTGGTTCAATGGCTCTCAGCAGCACATTCACTACACAAATTATTTGGGCACCTCTGGGGAAGTAGGGAGGGAAATCTGCTGTGGGAGGCCCATGATCCCATCCAAATTCAGCCTGCTCCCTTCCCAGCCCAACTCAAGGGAATGGATGCTCCCCACTGCTTGAGATCTCCAGCTGCCAGACAGCTCAGATACCGCTGTGATGGGCTCCAGAAGCTAGCCCCGGGTAAGAGCATTTCCTGAGCCCAGGAGGAAAATCAAGGTCTTTTTACCAGACAGGAAGGAATGAAGGTGAGCTCCTTGAGTCTGCTGGAAATCTCCAGGGCTCCCACTGAGATGGAGCAGTTTTCAGGGTTCCTCCCTGGTGTGTCTGCAATGAGCCAGAGTGGCAGGAGAGAGAAGGGTGTGAGAGATCCAGGCCTTTGCTCTTCATCTGACCCCACAAACCTCTTGTTCTTGCTTTATATCTCCCCACCCTCCTGGGATGCCCTTTGTGCTCAATAGTGGAGATAATCATTAACCCAGAGGGACAATCAAAGCTGGAGATACTTTCCTGACTCAGAGGGCACTGCAGTGTGACTGAGGGGCCAATGAACCTCAAACTTGCCCCTCTTGGCCCCCTCCAATCCCAGCCCTGTGTTCCCCCCAGCTCTGCCAACACCCCTTAATCCCAACCTATAGCCCCCGCTGCTGTCCCAGCCCTGGACTGCCCACACTCAGCACTGCCAGTGCCCCTCAATCCTGACCCACAGCTACCTGCTATCTCAGCGTGGGGTTACCCCCCACCCCCAATCCCCTGCTGCCCCTGGGCTTGGCCACCAATGCCTCTCAATCCCAGCTCACAGCCCCTCAGTGCCTCTTGCCATTCTGGTCTCATCCTTTCTCTGGCTGTTCAGGGCAGGCTCTGTCTCCCACTAGGTGCGTATCCAGCACCCAGCATGTTGTGGCATTTAACGGCTACCCTTATCTAAAAATAAAGATGAATTAGGCACCACATTTTCCAGGGTCTTAGGTGCTTACAATTGCAGCCAGGCATTTGGTGGGATTGGCAAAACATGCTTGCCCCACCTAACCCCTTGAGCCCACCACGAAGGGGTTAGGCTGAGAGCAATCACATCTGTGCTCTGCAACCAGCCAGCTCCAGGGTGAAGTTCAAGGCCCTAATGGTGGAAGGACCTGGCTACTTCAGAGCCTGCCGCTCTCCCCCGCCCCAGCCTGGCCTGAAGCATTTATAACCCAGCACTCCTCTATCTAATCTCTCTATCCATCCAGGTACTTTATACTGTGCTTATCTCCATGGGATCTGAGCACCATGGGAAGGCAATAAAGTCTGCTGCACTGTCACAGGGTCCTGTCTGTCCCGGTTCCTAGAGCTCATTAGTAGGCAAGAGTTTCCTTACTGAGGAAAAGCAAGGGCAGAGAAGAAGGTGCTGTGTTGCAAGGTAGTGTGGCCTAGCAGACAGAGCACAGGACTGGGCATCAGACCAAGACTCATGCTTCTATTCCCACCACTGCAACTGACCTGCGGTGTGATTTCAGCCAAGGCCCTTGCCTTGTTCCCCAGTTCTCCCTCCCACTTTTTGTCTGTGTGATAATACCGAGCTCTTATAGCACACACAAAGATGGTCAGTATCATCATGCCCATTTTACAGCTGGAGAAAGTGAGGTACGAGGCAGTGAAGTGACTTACCCAAGGTCACACAACAGGCCAGTAGCAGAGCCAAGAATGGACTCCAGGTCTCGAGTCCTAGTCTAGTGAGCTATTGACTTGGCCACACTAGCTTTTCACAGCAGGGACTGTCGTCTCTTGTGTGTACCCTGATCTCAGGCAGGATCCCTATAGGCTACTGTGCTGACAGTGGATCTGGAGAGGCATGATCTGAAAGTGGTGATCATCCCAGGCAGGGAGCTACATGACCACAGGCTGGTTCCTGAGAAAGCCCTGCCTCTAGCCCACCTGCCTCTTGTTACAGGCAGCTCCATTGTTCCTGCCAAGCACAGCCTTGGGCCTGGCTTGCCACGAGCACTGAAGATCGGGGTGAAATCCTGACTCTAGCAAGATCAATGGCAAAACCCTCATTGACTTTAACAGAGTTGAAGTTTTTTACCCCAGGTCTATTACCTAGGGTTACCATACGTCCGGATTTTCCCGGACATGTCCGG